CCTTCATGACATTTAAAGAAATCCAAGGTAGTGGCTTTGCAGAATGTCCCACAATTTGGATTTGTCTGATTGTCTCCTCAAAAGTATAGGCTGCAAGGGACACCTGGGTGGCTGTCGGTGAAGCGACCGACTTTGGCTCAGGTCATGATCTTGCGGTTCGTGGGTTCAAGCCCCACGTTGCGCTCTGTGCTGACAGCCAGCTTCAGATTCTGTACCTCCCTCTCTCTCTGACCCTCCCCTGCTCACTCTGTCTCTCTCTCTCTCAGAAATAAATAAAACATTAAAAAAAATTTTTTTTTAAAGTATAGGCTGCAATCAAAATACTTGACAAGAATATTTCACAGCTGATGTTGTATCCTGCTCAGGAAATTGCATCAGGAGGGACAGGATGCCAAACTGTCTCATTTTGGTGACATGGATGTGATTATTTGGTCAAGGTAACATCCTGCAGATTTTACCATTGTAAAGACACCATTTTCCGCTTGTAATTAATACTTTGTGGGGTGATAGTGAGACCCTGTGAATATTCCCAATAACATTCCACCTGATGCTTTTAGCATTTATTGAGATCCGTGCCTATCCATTATTATTATTATGGTGGATCACTTTGTTTTTACCTAATTAAAAAATGCATACTACAGAAAAGGTATAAAATGCTAAAAAGTATAAAGGAAATATAATTTCTACATACACAGGGCAAGATAAAAGTGCATGCACAGTACATGGTACAGTTACACACGAATGTCCCCTTTTCCTAATGTTTATGCAGATTCTGTTTGGGGTAGCATGTATGTATTCACAACTGTCTTTAGTTTATTTTGTCTAATTATATACTAGATACATACTAATTGAAAAACTCTATAAAGAACCAAAAGGCATTAAAAATGATAAAATTCAGGGCGCCTGGGTGGCTCAGTCCGTTAAGCATCCAACTTTGGCTTGGGTCACTATCTCATGGTTTGTGGGTTCGAGCCCCACATCGGGCTCTATGCTGACAGCTCAGAGCCTGGAGCTTGCTTCCCATTCTGTGTCTCCCTCTCTCTCTGCCCCTCCTCTGCTCATGCTCTGTCTCTAGATCTAAAATAAATAAATTAAACAATTTTTTTAAAAGAACAACTTTAAAATAAATAAAAATGATAAAATTCCTAAACATATCCATGACAAAGTTATTCATATATTTTCTTTTTCATATGCCTCTTTTCTTATATATGCTAAGAACTCTAAAGAAGTTCTGTCCTTTTAACTTTCCTGCCTTATCCTTAAATAGGCTGTCATATTTTCCCAGGGACTCTCTCCTTATTTTTCTTGGTTTGGGAGTAGTTCCTATCTGGTCTCCCATTACCTTTATCGGGTCTTGGGGGACTTACTCCGCAACGAGCTGGATGGAAGGACAGCATCTGCTTGAGCCACAGGGTTTCTCTCAAAACATGGATGTTGATGCAGGAGACTTTAAAAGAAAGGGAATTTAGGGGGAGATATTTTTTACTTGGGGGATATATCTAACTGCTTCCACAGCCAAGAAGTTACTGCTACAAGAGTCCACATCGTCCCTTCAGAACGGAAAGACTTAGAATGACTAATAAGCTCTTCTGATCTTACTAGTAAACAGTGTTCTTAAAGTAATTGCTAGAAAGGGGGGCGCCTGTGCGGCTTAGTGGGCTAAGCGCCTGACTCTTGGTTGTCGGCTCAGGTCATGATCCCACAGTTTGTAAGTTTGAGCCCCATGTCAGGCTCTTGTGCTGATGGTGCAGAGCTTGCTTGGGATTCTCTCTCTCTAAATAAATAAATAAATAAACTTATAATATTTTTAAAAATTGCTAAAAAAAAAAATAGTTGCTAACAGTGGCACCCTCTCTTGTGTTCTACTTTTACTTGAAATTGTCTTTTGTAAGTTTCATTTGTTTTTGTTGTTGTCGTTGTTTTTAATCCTGTTAGACCGGGGGACTCAGGGGGCGCCTGGGTGGCTCAGAGGGCTAAGCACCCAACTCCTGGTTCTGGCTCAGGTCACGATCTCACGGTTTGTGAGCCTGAGCCCCGAGCCCCGTAGGCGTCTCTCGCTCCTGTCTCCCCGCCCCTCCCCATGCTTGCACACAGGCCTTTCTCTCTCCACATAAATAGACAGACTTGAAAAGAAAAAAAAACAGTAAAACTGGTAGGAAGGACAGGAAGGAGGAATTGAAAAAGCAAGGAAGAAAGGTGGAGGGGAGGTAAGGGGCGCTGTTATTTTTCTTCATAAACTTTTTTGCTACGCCTGATTCTTTTTTTTTTTTTTTTTTAATGTTTTATTTATTTCTAGGAGAGAGAGCGCGAGCAGGGGAGGGTCAGAGAGAGAGGGAGTCACAGACTGAAACAGGCTCCAGGCTCTGAGCTGTCAGCACAGAGCCCGACGCGGGGCTCGAACCCACGAACCGCGAGATCGTGACCTAAGCGAAAGTCGGACGCTCAACCGACTAAGCCACCCAGGCGCCCCCTGATTCTTTTTTTTAAAGCCGTGTTCCCACACTATCTTTTTTTTTTTTTAATGTGTATTTAAGAACAACGATGAGCGTGACTTACAGTACACCATCAGGATGTCGAGCGGGGTCACCTACGCTAGGTACGGTACAAGGATCTTAGCAGCGACCCTTTAAAACGCAAGCGGCGCGCCGCGCACCGCAGCAGCCCGGCCCCGCGCCTCCCCGACCCGCGCGGCTCCCGGCCTCCCGCGCGCGGTGGGCGGGGACCTGCCTCCCGCGCGCGGTGGGCGTGGAGTGCGCACGCGCCGGGCGCGCATTTCCTCTCCTCCCGGAAGTGCCCGCCCCGTGCTTCGAGTGGACCGCTGGACGCAGCGGGGTTAGCGGCTTCTCCGCGGAGGGGGTCCGCAAGTAGCAGACAGGATTCAGTTTGGACAGGGCCAGCAGCTGTCCGGCACCTCCCCGCGTTGTCCTACGTTGCTTGAAGCGGGAGGGGGGCGGGGGGGAGCAGCGCACCTGAACCCCACAGGGACTAAGCTCTGCTGCAGGCACAGCTGCAGACCCCGAGGACCCGGAAAGAAAGAGTCGGGGACCCCTGTCGTCAATGCCGGCGGCTGGTGGAAAGTATCCAACGGAATGGGGGTGGGGGGGTTAGGATGAGTTCCCCAAGCAGTGGATTAATTTGAAGTGAATCCGAAGGCTCTTCAAGTTACCGCGCTGTTGAAGCGCCCGGCCCCAAAGGAGCGGGCCTGGGTGCCCGGTGCCTTGTTTAGGCTTTCAGAGTTTGGTAAGGAAAAAGCAGGTCGGATGTTCTCGAAATCGTTTGAATTAGCCCCGTTTCGTGAACTTCTTTCTTGTTTAAGGTCGTCTCTCACCTGGTGATGACCTTTGGGAAAGTCCGTCTTGAGACAGCCCTAAGACCTCTCTGTCCTTTTCCCCAGTGATTGATACAGATCCCTTTTCTTGCACTGTGGAAAATCTCTTTCGTGTATCCTTCAATATGAGAGATGGTTTAGCAAGAGTGAGCCTTGAGCCTGCCAATAATAGAAGCTCTTAGTATCAGTAAACTAAAAGAAGTCACCAGAATCCCCAAGTTTGGAAACAAGGTGTTAAAGAGTTTTTGGTTTTCAGTACTGGAAAGAACCTGCAAAAAAATTTTTTCTTTAAATTTTTAGAGAGTGCATGAGCAGGGAAGAGGAGAGAGACAGAGGAAAGGGGAGGGGGGATATTCAGCGGTCTCCATCCTCAGTGTAGAGCTTAATACGGGACTCAGTCCCACGACCCTGGGATCATGACCTGAGCGGAAATCAAGGGTCAGGTGCTCAACTGACTGAGCCACCCAGGTGCCCTGGTATCTGCAAAACTTTTAAATGTTAAATGCTGTGATCTCTTTGTGTTACAGCAAAGACACATTTTATCTTAATTGGATAGCAAAATTCGAACAGAAGTATATATTATGAAATCTGTTTTCAAAGTAAATCTGAAATTTATCTTAATATTTTAGTATCTTTGAGAGTTTATAAAGATGTCAATCTGTGGAAAACAAACTCATTGGCGTATTTATAAAAGGGAATAAAGGAAAGAAATCTGGCCTAACTTTCATTTTACAAAGGAGGAAACTGTGACCCAGAAAGGGAAATGACAAGGATCACACTTAATCAGATTTGGGAGCTAGAGCCCAGCCATGCTCATTGGCTGAATGTCGCTCCTTACTCTGTAGGAGCTCATACCCATTGTAACAAACATGATGTGAGTGTGGCATCAGGTATTGCTCAAAGATCTCTTCACCATACTAAAGTAGACGGCAGGAGATAAGGAGATCGTGGTTCTTCAGGATCTAGACAGGACTTTGAAGAAAGTCTTCATAATCTGAACTCTCCCCAAAGGATACAGACCTCTTTGGAATATAAACTGGTGAAATCTTTTTTGGGGGGACGAGCTTAAGTAAGGGCTAGACAATCACTTACTAGGATTGTCAAAGGGATTCAAACCTGCTCTGAAGTCCCGTCTATCTGTGGGTCTGATATTTTGGGTTACTAACTGCCTTTCAGCACCTAAGTGGCCAGGAAGTATAGGGAGGAAGGAAACAAATCCCCCTTCAAGGTCAACTTTGAGTCAAGTATTGTGTTCTGCATTTCATAGATGTTGATACACTTAGTCCTCCCAAGAAGCTTTGGAGAGAGGTATTATTCTCGGTCTACCTCAGTTCCCAAAGGTTAGGGAACATGCTCCAGGCCATGCAGATAATCGGCACACAACTGAGACCGGATTACACCATCTCTCATATCCGGATGAGTGGGCAGGAGAAGATTACAGTTTGTCCCCTGTGTAGGTAACCCCCCTGTCACTGCTTAGTGAGCCTTCAGGGCACGTAACTCCCATGTCCTTCTGGTCTGACTAACAGTAAGGGAGAAGCTGCAGTGGAGGCCCGGGCCAGGGGCCCCCCTACTAGGAGAAAGGCATTCTGCTGGGCACCTCTTCACAGAGGCTCCGGCGTTCCAGCGCTTTGCACAACAGGCACGTTCTCGTTGGACAAGGAGACCAAGCTTTGCTTCCAAAATTTTCAGTTTAATAGTTCGCTCTGGGTGAAGAGACTCGGGATTCGGCTTTGAGACCAGACTGGACCCCAACAACAGGAACTGGTTTGTGAAGGGGGGCTGGGACCACCGATCTAGGGAGGCAGACAACATCCGGGACGCCGGGAATCTGTGCTGCTCAATCAGCGAGGCTGTTTGACACTCTTGGGTAAATGGCCATTTCCGTCAGGGTCCAGCCAGTTTCTGGAGCCCCAGGGATCACGGGCCAGCCTCCTCTTGAGAGAGGATGTGCCCACGGCAAACTCCAGAGCAGATATCCTCTCCCTGTGCGTTATCTTTCTAAAGCTGAGCCCTCCGCCTGCCCTGCTGTTAACACTCAGATTAAATGTGCTCCACGTTCCTCCCTTATCCATGACTACATTTCTGCGTCCTGAGAAGTTGTGGCCATGGGCAGCAAAGCCTCACCACCCAGCTGTGGCCTACCTGAGGCATGTCCGTCATCTTCCTACTCTGGTATCAGGCATGGCTACCAATTAGCCACAGTTTCAAGTGCCAGCTCCCTAGGCTCCACTGTCTGGCTCCTTGCCAGCCTCTTTACCTTTTAGTCTCTGTCGCACCACCCATTCTGGCCACATCAGATTCAGCCTTCCTTGGCTGGACACCAACCTTCCTTCCTGGTGTCCAGTCGTCTGTAGGATTTCATCAGGAATGCTCTCCCCACCCGATCCCCCACTCAAATCTCCATCTTCTCTCAAGGAACAGCTCTTCTGCGGTTAAGATCACAAAGCAAAACTGGCTTTAGGGAACTCCGTTACAAGACCCCCAGGAACCAAAGCAGTTGGATAAAGGGGATAAATAGGGTGGCTTTAAGGTCACTCTTAGCTAGAGGGCACTCAGAGGATTAATATCTCCACAGAGATCTATGGAACCGATTTGCTGCCCGGAGGCACCCCCTTCTCCGTTCTGCTGGGATCTGCACTACCTCTTCGGAGAAACTGGGCAGCAGTGGCTGAGTCTCAGGCTGCCAGGGACCACCCCGGAGCGGAGCTGTGTTTCTCGGCACGTCTCCCAGTTCCCCTCATGGCCGGCTTTTGTGGCCGCGCGGGGATTCAGGCATGTCCGTGCTCCACCGTGAGAGGCCTCCACTCACTCCATCATGGTTTATTTCTTCACTCCGGTGTTCCTCTCCCCTTGGCCACATTCTCTGCACCCTTGCCCTGCTCCCATGATCACAGCATCAAAATAATCCCCAAACGGGATTGCCCTGCTTGAATGTGACATCTCCCACCATGCCTCCCTCTACATGCTTTCACGTTAGCTCCGAAGCAGACAGTCCCCCTCACCTGCCAACCCTGCCGGCACACACCTTGCCAAGTTGGAGTAAGTCCTTGCGTGTAAGGCAATTTGTTTTGCTCGCCCTTGTCAACACCGCTGATCACACAAACTCCTTGTTGACCAAGACAACTCAGCTGGGTGACTGGGAGGCCAGGGGCCGGGTCCCATTAATACTGGTGATCATGTCTCAGATCTCCAGGACATGGACCCACCCCTCTCGTCTCCTGGGCTTCGCCAGGTCTTGCAGAATGAGGCTGTATTGAGATCCAAAGACATTAGCTATTTGTTAGATGTTCCTGTCATCTAGCAGATATTCAGAGTAGGGTTGAATCTGAAGGGAAAGGGAAGAGCGGGTCCAGTGCCCTTCAGATGAAGGTTTCTACTTCAAAGCAAGAGTGGTCTGTGAACTTCTGATCTTCAAAACGAACCGCACGCCCAGGTCCCAAAGTCTTAGCTCCATTCTGAGCCGTGATGCAGAACAACCAAGCTCAGTGACAGCTCCTGGTTCTTCACCTTCATGGGCAGTCTCTGCGGAAGCTTAAATTCCTGCCATGGGCATCACTGCAGGTTGATCCCTGCTCAGTTCCTGACGTAGCCTTGACTGATGGCTCTGAGCCGATGGGCTCGCCCCAGGTGTTACTCATCAGATGTCAAGACCACCGGCCCCAGAGAGCACCTACGCATCTGGGATCTGAGCATCTCCACGTTGTCTTTGTTCCTTTCAAGATTTACATCCTCAGGGTCCCACTGTGGAGAAAAGACACAAATGGTACCTTGGGGGAATAGACTCTTCCCATCTCTTACGATGCCCCACCCCAAACGATAGCTCCAGTCCTGGCTCTCATGATCCAGGCACAGACAAGGAGAAAGAGTAAGGGCAGGCTACTCACGCCTGCAACTCTAGGACCTAATGGGACAAATATAACTTTAAATCAAGGAATTAATGGACAGCCACCCTGAATACACCGGCCCCACTTCCCTTCCTACCCTCCCCCTCTTTCCAGCTTTACTCTAGTGAGACTGAGTTATGTTCCTTTTATCCTGAGACTTCCCACCTCTATGCCCAACTCATTCCTGCAATAGACTAGGCCAACTCAACCCATTCTTTATGGCCCGGATAAGTACCTCCTCTTTCAGGAAGCTTACCCTGACCGCTTTCACCCATTGAGCTCACCCCCTACTGCCCCAGAGCATTCATTTGCAGCTGAACATGCACAGCCCTGCCCTTTCTCTGGGCACCACTTTGTCCTTCCAGGTAAATGATGAGCTTCTTAAGAGCAGGGCACCAGCCTGCCCTTGCTACCTGCCCCTCCTTCCCATCATGCCATTTCCTGTTAACCTGAGGCTCAGGAGACTCGTCCAAAACAAACACTTAAAGCTTGATTAGAATGGTGGTCACTGCCAGAGAATATTTCACTTACTCTGATTCAGACAAGTATGGGAAAGGTTAGTAGTAAAAGGTTAAAAAAAGAGAGGCAGTCATGTAAGCATTGGTGACACTATTTGCAAAGTCCTTCTATTTTTCTCATGTGACAAATGAGAGAATTTTGCACATGGCCAAGAGCCTGGAGCCTGTTTCAGATTCTGTATCTCCCTCTCTCTCTGACCCTCTCCTGCTCATGCTGTCTCTCTCTCTCTCTCCCTCTCTCTCAGAAATAAATAAAACATTTTTAAAAATTGAAAAAAAAAAAAAAAGAAAGAAAGAAAGGCCGATGCCGGGCACCCGCCCTGGATCCTAGTTAGTTTGGGAACTACGGTCTGACATTTTAACAAGCTCCTAGGGTGAGTTGTAGCTGCCCTGACATCTCAGAACCATGGTACCAGCTCCCGCAATGGCTTCTTCAGAGTTCTAGCTACTCACTCCTGACCAGCGCAGCTGCCGGAAAACAGAAAGAGCCAGCCACTTTGGTCAAGTGCACTCTCTGAAGTGGGTTCAGCCCTTGAAAACATTTTCAATCTCTTTCTTCTGAATCCCCAGAACAATGTGTTTCAAAATCTCATTTTAAGCAATAAAAACATTGCGGGAGTCCAGGCATAAAGGAAATTAGAGCAAAAGATGATCTTACCAGAAATATTCCTGGGAGACGACATGCACAGGTGTTTGTCCTACAACATGTGCTCACCGGTCCCCCGCAGGGGAGGGTGGCAGGGAGACCGCCGCCACCTGCCCACGGTCTTGGAATGACAGTGTGCAGGAATGGCTGTCTCCACCCTGGCAGCCGTCACCCCACTGGTAACCTGCATCTACTCCGCTTTGTCCAAGGAACTTTGTTCCAAACCATGCTTCTCCTTGGGTTACGCATCTTCTGAGTTCCTACCAGATGGTTTGGGCAGAGCAGAAAGAACTCAACTGAGAGAGCTGGAAAAGTCTCCCGATCCTGACTCGCCTCTCAGGTTTTCATTCTTTACCAACGGAATGTGGCCTGGGCCCAGCCGTCCAAGGAGGGGGCTAACCAACACAGGAAAGGGAATCAAGCCACAGCAGGTCCCTTCTGGAATAGAGAGAGCATGACTGTCCGTACCTGCTCCGAGTTTAAGGCTTCCCAATACTTCTGCTGCAGAATAAAAAGAGAGATGGAGAAAATGTGTTGGGAGGATCTGGCCAGCATCACAGAGCAGAGCAGAGCTCAGCACCAGCACTGCCTGCTCGGCGAGCGAGGAGGCAGCCCCTTCAGCGGGAGAGCTGACTTCAGCAAGCAGAAAGGCAGCAGCTACGGTGGCTACAATTAAGCTCAATGATCAATAGGATAATTGTGATAATTAGGAAGGGCTGCAGGTCCTTGGAAAAATTATAATCTAAAATTACTATTATTAGAAATTATTATCATCAGGCATAATAATAAATCTTCCATTTATTAACCACGTGGTTGAGATGAGTCAACTCAAACCCATAAAACTAAGAGATGCAAATAAAATACCCACCATGAAAATACAGGATATTTGCTACCAGCCAAGAATCATTTTCAATCAGCCTTTACCGCATGGGTGACTCCACCCCAAAGCTCAAATGTATCTGATTCAGGTACTTGGAGGGTGGTGTGACGGTCCCCTCTGGCTTGCCGGGCACCTCATGCAGCACCTGGGAGACGCATGTTCCCAACATCGAGCGCTATGAATCTACAGACACGTGTCACACTCATCTGTCAACATCCGTCAAATTGATAGCTGCCACTCCGAAAGGTCCACTGGACTCACCATTATTGTCACATTAAAACAAAGCCCCTGATGTTCAATTCTTTTACATTTCCATTTGAAAAGATTTGTTTTAAATCTAAAATATTTTTCATAAGTATTTTGTAATTAAAAATCCAACACTATTTTAAAAAATAATCTCTACGTCCAATGTGGGGCTCAAACTCACAACCCCGAGATCAAGAGTTAGTTGCATGCTCTACTTCCCGAGCCACCCAGGTGCCCCTTAAATTTCTGTTTTAAACATGTTTCTAGGGGCACCTGGGTGGCTTAGTTGGTTGAGCACTGGACTCTTGATTTCGGCTCAGGTCATGATCTCACTGTTCGAGGGATCAAGCCCCTAGTATGGCTGTGCTGACAGCATGGAGCCTGCTTGGGATTCTCTCTCCTTCTCTCTCTGCCCCTCCCCTGCTCATTCCCTCTCTCTCTCTCTCACTCTCTCACTCTCTCTCTCTCAAAATAAATAAACATTAAAAGGGCACCTGGGTGGCTCAGTCAGTTGAGTGACTGACTTGGGCTTAGGTCATGATCTCAGTTTGCAGGTTCAAGCCCCACATTGGACTCTGTGTTGACAGCCCCTGCTTCGGATTCTGTGTCTCCCTCTCTCTCTGCCCCTCCCCTACTTGAGCTCTGTCTCTCTCACTAAAAAATAAACATTGAAAAAATAATAAAATAAAACAAAATTTTTAATTGTACATTTTCAATCACACATCAATAAAAGAATGAACACCCATGGACATACCTTCTTTTATTTGCTCTAGCTCCCCAATATTTTTATTTGCCTAAATATTTTAAAATAAATAATTCCATCTGTAAATATTTTCATATGTTTCTCATAGATAAGGACATTTTAAAAAAAGTGTTTATTTATTTTGAGGGCGAGAGAGAGTGCAAGTAGGTTAGGGGCAGAAAGACAGAGATGGAGAGAGAATCCCAAGCAGGCTCTGGCACAGCAGAGTTGGATGTGGGGCTCGAATCCATGAACTGTGAGATCATGACCTGAGCTGAAATCAAGAGTTGGCCACTCAACTGACTGAGCCACCCAGGTGCCCCATGGTCATTTTTAAAAAATCCCCAAGAACTGTGCCATTATTAGACTTAATAAAATTTGTGATAATTCCATAGTATTCATCTTTTATTTATGTATTAAAAACTTAAAAAATTTTTTTCTTTGAGAGACTGAGAGAGACAGAGCGTGAGCAGGGGAGGGGCAGAGATGGAGACAGAATCCAAAGCAGGCTCCAGGCTCTGAGTTGTCAGCACAGAGCCCGATGTGGGGCTCGAACCCACGAACCGTGCATGAGATCATGACCTGAACCGAACTTGGACGCTTAAACAACTGAGCCACCCAGGCACCCTTGTATTCATCTTTTAATAACATCCTGCTGGGGGAGGGAGACATAAACTGGAAAAAAAACAACCCACAGGACTAATTGGAAAAGATATGAAATCACAAAAAACAACAGTTTTACACACACTGCAAATGACAGAAATGTTGGTGAGGATGAAGGGGTTGAAAAGTGAAGTAACTTCTATATATGTGATGGAACTAAAGAGAGATGAAAGAAAAGAGGCTAACTTTCACCTTTCTTTAGAAAATACAGATGTTCATGCAAAATAGCAACAGTAATCTGATGTTATTAGCTGTTTCGTTTGTTTAAAAAAAGTATTAAATGAATGTGATACAGGGGCACCTGGGTGGCTCAGTCGATTAAGCATCCGACTTTGGATCCGGTCATGATCTCGTGGTTCTTGGGTTCAAGCCCCACATCAGGCTCTGTGCTGACAGCTCAGAGCCTGGAGCCTGTTTCGGATTCTGTGTCTCCCTCCCTCTCTGACCCTCCCCCACTCATGCTCTGTCTCTCTCTCAAAAATAAATACACTATAAAAAATGTTTAAAAAATAAAAAAATAGAATAAATGCAATGTGATACATTGAAAGAGAATGTTAATGGAAAAACTGGTGACATCCAAATAAAGTCAGTACTTTAGAGGGTAGTAATGTAGTAGTGTTAATTACTCAGGTTTGATGTTAACATTACAGGAAAGTGGGTAAAGGCACACAGGAACTTTCTGTACTACCTTTGCAACTTTTCTGTAAAAATCAAATTATTTCAAAATTAAAATTTTTTATATAAAGTCAAACAAATAAATAAGCAAACATAAAACAAGGTTAAGTGTCCCTGGAATGTATTGACAAGAAACCTTGAAACTTCTCTCCAAAACTTCAGCACGACAATCTAAAATTTAAGAACAGTGCCCTCTAGTGGACGTAGTAGTCACGATTTCTTTTCAAAGTTCCTTTTTTAAGCCAATGATGATAACGTGCCTAAGGAGTGCAATTAACCCAAATCTTGGTACCTGAGATCTCTCTCCATCCTTTAAAAGTAAAAATAAGATAACATTTTCTAGTCCTCTCTTCACTTCAAGAGCAAAATGTGTTCACTTTTGTACAGATTTTTTCCCAAAAACATAATAATTCTAGCCCATGAATTTTACCCCAAGAAAAAGCCTCCATGAACAGTTACTGATTAGCCCTCGGAAATACAAACACGTCACACACAACCCAAAATGTGCTAATGGCTTTTCTCCCTTAACATCCCATGAGTATCACCACAGATCTTTAGATTGTCTTTAGGATCATGAATCTATCACCTCCACGAACCACACAGCATGTACTATTTCAACTCTGCTCGTTTCTAAAAGCACACTTCTCTCTGCTTCTGAAATCAAGAAGCAGCCTGTAGCCCCCGTCTATAAAGCATGCAGTAACTTTTCCTCTGTTCCCAAAGGCTCTGAGGTGTGTCTTAGCCAGTGAGGCAACAGGGTCACTTTCCAGGATTACATTTCAGACTACGTCCTCTTACGCTTAGGGAGAAGCGACTTTTCCCGAGACTGGGGAGGCGACATGGTGTTGGATTCAGGACCGATTATAAAGTTTTTTGCTTCTTCTGATTACAAAGCGTTAAGACCGGCCAGATACACACCAGCTACGATTCTCTCCCAGAATTCATTACGTGGATTTCCTTTTGACCTGGAGCCTTACAGACTTGAAAAAAAAATTACACCATAGGCTTCAAAACTGCACCCTTTCTTTTTGTCTCGTTCATTAAGCAGTTCTATAGCACTGACCCCAGACTGAGCAGGGTTTCACCTTCCCGTGTATTCTTTCCTCGTCTCTACCTGCCCCAGCTGCCTTCTCTCTCCTCCCTTCCCAGCTGCTGTGGGCAAGATGGAACGTGAGATGGGAAAGTGCTTCACGGGCACGAAGTGCAGTATGCAAGACCAGGGCTTCTGTAGAAAAATGCCCCCTGCCCCCCGCGTTACGTTACTGGTGGCTCTGGGTCATTTAACCACTCAGCCTCTCCTCGTTCGGGTCTGAACAGGCCCATCATAAACTGGATCGGCGAGAGGATTCTGACCTACGGTGGGTTGGTTTCCTTTACAAAGATGACAGACAGCTTCAGCTCAGGACCATTCCGAGGTTGGAACAAAGGGGCGGAGACAGAAGTGCTGTGCATTAAAAGAGCGGCCAGCAGGGTTAGGCGCGTGCACCTCCGACCTCCAGCCACGAGGAGAAACAAACACTGTATGGAGGCCAATTCCCAGTGAGAAGGCCTTGGCTCCTGTTCCTGATTTTTCAAATCATTTTTTCCCCAGTTTTATTGAGATGGAATTGACACATAGGACAAACTGTGTGTTCCTCCTTGTTTGGAATAAATGTTGTTCAGATGCTGCTCTGAAAAACTGAAGTGGTCTAGGGAAGGGCCAGAGTAGGCATGATCAAGTTTGATTCAGGAGCAGGGATGCCAGATAAAGCACAGGACACTGAGGGGCGCCTGGGTAGCTCAGTTGGTCAAGTGTCTGACTTCAGCTCAGGACATGATCTCACCATTCATGAGTTCGAGCCCTGAATCGGGATCTCTGTTGTTAGCACTGACCTGGCTTCAGATCTTCTATCCCCCCGACCCCCTGCACCTCTCCCATTTGTATTCTCTCTCTCTCTCAAAAGTAAATAAACATTTAAACAACAACAACAAGGGTGCCCGTGTGGCTCGGCTGGCTAAGTGTCCGACTTCTACTCAGGTCAGACTCTCACCATTCATGAGTTGGAGCCCCGCATCCGGCTCTGTGCCGACAGCTCAGAGCCTGGAGCCTGCTTCTGATTCTGGGTCTCCCTCTCTCTCTGCCCCTCTCCCGTTCACACTCTGTCTCTTTCTCTCAAAAAATAAATAAACCTTAAAATTTTTAAATAAAATAAGAAAATAAAAACAACAACAAAACCCAAAATACAAGACACCTAAACACGAATTTCAGACCACAAATAATGGTTTAGAAGAAGTGTGTCTACCTGAAATTCAAAC